GTGTAGCAGAAGATTCCTTTGTGAGGAGCCTAATGAAGCTGTCAATCACATACTGCTTCGTCGCATCTTCACAAGGCAAATTTGATTAATGTTCCTTAGTATTTTTGGTGTCCAATGGGTCATGCCAGGAAGTGTCGAACTTACTCTATGCTTTTGGTTCCTACTTATACTTTGTCACGATCCAAATCCAACTAGTCGTGACGGCACCTAACCCAATCTGCTAGGTAAGCCAATTAATCTTTATGCAATGATTAGATGATCTTTACAAATGATTGGGCTCCTCTTTATATAATAGAGGGGTGTCCTAAATAAGGTACATTTCCGTCTTTAAGGAATCTAATTTGACAGTTGTCTAACCGCCTAGTACGAGTTCGTACAAATCCATTTCGGGATTTACGCCTTGATCTTTGGGCCATTGCGGGAATCTCGCCTTTTCTACTACAAAACCACAACAGTATTATCTCGAGGTTGGTCACGCTCGACTCAATATTCATCGAACACTCTGATCTTCGAGCTTCGAACTCTGCCATTGGGCTCGGACCCAGTCTATTTCGGACTCGCTCTTAAGGTTATCCTCGAGCCTACAACATCGGGTAGCCCCGATTTCTACCGTATACAGATAGTCCCCTCATTTTTTGGAGTATAACGACAAGAAACGAATTGAGTCCTTGATATTTACCCCCATTTGCCACGACATCATCAAGTGACTGAGGAAATGAAAGCTTGGAAGCCGGCCTTTCCCGAGGAAGACTTCAAGCACTCTAGTGAGTTCGGCGGTGGAGAAGATTCTGAGGGTGAAGGCACTTCTGCCGATAAGGATCGTGCTGCTTAGGCTTCGTGTTCTTCGTAAATTTTTGCTTCTGAGGCTGATCGGCCCTTGCGAGGAACTCTTGATCGTGACCTGTAGTCCTTGTAAAAAGTTTATACAAAGCTTTTTTCCTTCCATGGATTCTGAATCTGTTACCCTTTTGTGCGGGTCAAAGTGCCTTAGCATAAAATTCCCTTTGAATGTCCAAAGTTTGAGATGGTAATGACCGACAATAAGTACTGCTCTCAAACGTTTCTGATCAATGGACCCTGGATGGCCGTTTGAACTTGGGTTTGAGTAGCTCTTAGACTCTACAATCGATGAGGTAAGGTAGCCTTTGGGCTTTATAGTTGAGTGAAGATTTGTTTGAACTCAAAATAAAGTTAGCCTTTGGGCTTTTTAGATAGTCCCCGAGTGAAGGTTTGCTCGAACTCGAAGTGAAGTTAGTCCTTAGGCTTTTATAGATAGTCCCCGAGTGAGAGTTTGCTCGAACTCAGGTTAAGGTAGCCCTTGGGTTTCTATGATCGAGTGAGGATTTGCTCGAACTCGAAATAAAGTTAGCCCTTAGGCTTTTTTATATTGGCCCTGAGGCTCTTTAGATCGGCCCTTAGGCTCTTTTAGGTCGTCCCTTAGGGTCTTTGAGTTGGGCCGATTCGGCCTCTAAAAACAGCTATAATTTTTACCTCTTTTCGGCTAAAAGACTTTAAGAAAAGTTTTCTATGCCTTAGCATGTGTTTTTTGTACCCGTTGGGTGTTCCGAAGGTTCAACCGATCGGAACCTTATTTGTAATTCGTTTGTGTAACGATAATCGAATACCTCTTGAGGCTTTTTCGAAGGCTGATGTTATCGAAGCCTTTAAATTACTCGAGGACTGATTTTGTAGAAGCCCTTTATCATTTGCTTTTGCCGAGGGTAGCCTGATTTAACCGGTTATTCAAAGTGTTTGAAGGCCTTTACTTTACGGCGGAAGTCGAACGTCTCCGAGCCGCATTATTTCGGTCGTTGCCATTTTATATGACCGTGGTCTTTGATATGGTCGTAGCCTTCGGGTATGTCTTTTGGACTTGTTTCTCGATAACACTTCGAACTTGTTCGAAATGTTAGTCCCCGAGTGTGATGGACTTGGCCTGTATATCGGGGGTGCCTCTTTGAGGTCTTATTATTTCGAACTTAGATTACTCGAGTAGGTAGTCCCCGAGTGTTCGAGATATGCTTGCACTTGGGTTAAGATAGCCCTTGGGCTTTTAAGATCGAGTGAGGATTTGCTTGAACTCAAAATAAAGTTAGCCCTTAGGCTTCATAGATAGTCCCCGAGTGAGAGTTTGCTCGAAATCGGGTTAAGATAGCCCTTGTCGGGAAAACCCATTTGGGACAAAAACAGGCCTAAGGGAAAAAGAGTGCAGCACGTGCTATAAGATCCGAAGCTTCGTGCCAATCCTTGTCGATAGCCTATAAGGGTTAGTCGAAAAAATAGAAAGGATTAGACTGGGTTCGTACCATTATTCGGACCTTGGATACTTAACGTGATCTTCCTTGGCATCAAGCCCTCATGAAATTTGACCTCGATCAATTCGCCTCTCATTTCGTGCGAAGCTTTGCCCAGAATCGCAGCCTCTATGGTCTCCGCTGTATGGTTGATATCGATCTCTATTCGACCTTGGCTCTCGATTGATGTCCCTTTTGATCCTATCCGGGGTCCTGCTAGGAACGGACCCCGAAGGAGTCCCTAGTTTATCATCCTCGACCCTAATCTTCGACTGATACCGATTATGTACATCGGCCGAAGTGACAACCGGGTACTCGATTAAACTTTGCTTCAAGCGCTGTGAAGCTATGGAACTCCAAGTGTTGAGACCTTGAGTGATACCTTGAACAACCCACTCATCGGTGATCGGAGGCAAATCAATAGAATTAGGGGGTAAGTTATGATACCATATTAAGGCACACGTCGATAGAGTCTCTCCGAACTTCTTCAGCAGTACAGACTCGATTACGTCATCTTCCAAGTTGTTTCCCTTTATGGCGCACGTGTAAGAAGTAACGTGTTCATTTGGGTTAGAGGTTCCGTTATATTTAGGTATCGGGCATATAGAACTTCTTTGGGATGGGCTTCGGAGCCGCACTCGGAGGGAACGACCTATGTACGAATTTATTGGCATCCAATCCCTTCAAGATCGGGGGAGCTCCCGGTATCTGATCGCCACGGGAGTTATAAGTCTTCATTTTTTTGTCATTGTCCTCAATCTTCCTTTCTCCGGACTCGATCCTCTTGGTGAGCTCTTCAAGCATCCTTATAATGGTAGGGTCAGTCCCCGAGCCATTTTCGTTTGACCTCTCTGGCGCCAGTTCAGCACGTAGAGTGTTTTCTAGTGTAACTATACTCAGAGTTTTATTCTGACTCTGAAGTTGAGCGATGGCAATCTGTTGAGCTTGCAGCATCTTGAATATCACTTGGAGGCCGACTCCCCCATTTCCTATACCTTGTGTTCCTTGTCCCCCAGATTGGGCTTCTCTCAGTACACTCCCTCCGGGGTTCGTGCCTAAATCCGCATTCAGTGCAATGTGTGAAGTAACGTCAACTGGTTCCATATTTGGCACTTCCCCAGGGTTTATTGGTGGTACACCGACCCCTACATTGTTGTTTTCCCCATGAAATCCAAGACCTTCGTTGTTGCGAACAGGTGCGTTTTGCGAGTTTGACATGTTTAATCCTGAGAACAAAAAATCTTGACAAGAACAAGTGTGAAAATAACGTGTGTTATCAGAATCAGTACTTAAATAATCACTATTATCTTTAGCCCCACAGTGGGCGCCAAACTGTTTACCTCGAAAATACGAGTAACAATTAAATTTGATTTGTAATTTTTAAGATATGTGATTTAATTCAATACCAATTAATAAACAAGAAGTATAAAGTATAAATGAAGGAAATAGGTAAATCAAATCAAGAAAAAAAGAAGCAAGAACAATAAAGTTAAAGGACAATTCTGATGAACAATGAGCGAAAAGTAGAGAGTATATTCTTTGCCAATGATTAGATGATCTTTACAAATGATTGGGCTCCTCTTTATAAAATAGGGGGGGGGGGGGAGTTCCTAAATAAGGTACATTTCCGTCTTTAGTAAGGAAATCTAATTTTACAGCTGTCTAACCGCCTAGTACGAGTTCATACAAATCCGTTCCGCGATTTACGCCTTGATCTTCGGGCCATTGCGAGAATCTCGCCTTTTCTGTTACAAAACCACAACGGCATTATCTCGAGGCTGGTCACGCTCGGCCTCAATATTCATCGAACACTGTGATCTCGAAGTCTGCCATTGGGCTCGGACCCAACCAATTTCGGACTCGCTCTTAAGGTGATCCTCGAGCCTACGAAATCGGGTAGCCCCGATTTCTACCGTATACAAAAGGTTTCATGAACAATTTAGCATTAGTGTAATAATATTGTTATATATTGAAGGATTTAATTAATATTAGTGTAACAATACCGTACCATTAATATATAGAAGGATTTAAGTTACCTATGTATGATGGTAAAAGCTTATTCGCACCCAATATTTATACCAAACTTTATCATGCATGATTAAGTAGTAATAATAATTAAGGTGAAAATGCGCTAGCAAATAAGATGAAAATGCATATTGAGTCAAGTTAATTCCAAGAAAAGGGTGTTTCAAGAAGCGTATGGATGATGTTAAACTCTGAAATTTACAGCTACTTTTTTCTAGTTTACGTTGGGGTAAATTAACTAGCTTTTCCATTTCTTGTAAAAGAAATTGTTAATTCAGAAATTTCCTCTATTTAACGCATTAGTTGAATATAGTTAAAGTAAAAACTTGTAAATGATCAAAAAGAGGGAAGTACGTAAATTGCCCATTGATTTCTTTTCTTCTGTTGAACTTAAACAGCCCACTTCAAAAAATCTGTTAGATTTAGGGTTCTAGACCAAACTGGAAACTACTATCCAAGAGAAAAAACAGGAAACTATATTTTCTGTTAATTTTCACAACTGTTAATTAGTTCAATTGTGAAAAAAATTACGCATTGTATATAAAGATTAGGGAAAAACTAACTTGAGTCCCAAGTTTAACCTTCCGCAGAAATCAACACTTCTTTTCTCTCCTATAAATTTGTTTCCTAAATTTTCGTTGTTGGAATTAACCTGATCAGATATCTATAAATAGTCCACTACAGCATTCACATCAATTAACTTCCGCCATTCTTTTAGGATTTTCTTTCATAGTTCTTGTCTTCGAACTTGAGAGAACAGAACTTCTTGTCTTTGCATATTGCGGCAATTACTATTGTCTCATTCTTGTGTTTCTCTATAAGCAAGAAAAAGAGACGACCATATATACCATGTTGACTGTACCAGCTGCACGCCGTCGTACCATGGGTGTTCGCTTTCACCCTACTGAAGCAGAGTTGATCAACTTTCTTAAAAGGTTCCTTAAGGGCGAGCCTTTGCCGAGTGAATGCCCTAATTTCCAACTTGCCGATATCTATGGAGACCAACCACCATGGGAGATATTTGGAGCTTCTGATCATCCCGAAGAGAAGGTTCGCTATATTTTTACTCGGTTGAAGAAGCAGAAGAGTGAACATACAAGGGTTCGTCGAACTTGCGCCAACAGGACATGGAAAGGCCAAACAGGTATTGATCCTATCAAGAATGGTAAGGGAACTGTGGTTGGGTTTAGAAGATGTTTCAAGTTTCAAACTAGTAGTAAAGAAGGAGAGCACAATAAAATTTGGCTGATGAAAGAATATTCCGTGGGGGATGATTTCTGTAGAGAAAACAATATTGCTAAGGAGGATATTGTTGTGTGCCGAATCAAGAAGAATATAAGATCAAAGAAAAATCATGGGGTAAATATGGAGGAACAAGATGTTCCAAAAGTAATCGAAGCTATGTTGCATGGACCTGATGAAGATTACTGCACAACAGTACAACCAGCAACAATATGTCAAGCAGCTGATCAACATCAAGTTAATGACTGGTCCAACTACCAACAGGAGGTCAATTGGGCTGATGATATGCTCATAGGAATAGACGAGTTTGGAGATATAATCTGGTAAGCATGAGTAATGAAGGGGAAGCAGATATATCGACGGGAGGAGAGACACGCAGCAATCAATTTATATACTACAACTTTGTTGAATGAACTCAGATATGTTGCTTCTGAGTTGGCCTCGGACATCACGGCTAATGTCGGAGATGTAAAGGTTTACTTGCACAAATTTTCTCTTCTGTCCAAGAGTACCTCTTTGCAAAAGCTGGTTGCTAATGCAAGTGAAGCAAATTGTGATGAAGTTCACATTCATGACATTCCTGGAGGACCTAATGCCTTTGAAATATGTGCCAAGTTTTGTTACGGCATGACTGCTAAACTGAAGAAGCTATTGAGAAAGGAAACCTTATTTTCCGAAGCTGGAAAGATTCAATAACAGTTCTTCAAACTACTAAGTCTCAGTCGCGTTTGTGTGAAGAACTGAAGTTGATCAGCCACTGCATTGATGCTATAGCACCCAAGAGAGTGGATTGGCCCGATACGAAAAAGCTTCCAGAAGAGAACGGAAATGATCCTAACTTGAATGGTATTAGAAGCCGCATGGTGCCAAAAGATTGGTATGGGTGAGGACTTAAGTGAGCTTGAAGTAGATTTATATAAGCAGGTAATTGTCACTATAAAAAACAAAGGCGTTGTTTCTTCTTAAGTAATTGGAGAAGCTGTGAAAGCTTATGCTTATAGAAGGTTTCCAGGCTTAGTAAAGGTGTGTTCTAGTTCAATGATGTCTCCAAATGTCGAGCAATATTGGATACGATTGTATGGCTGTTGCCCTCTGAGGAAGGTTGTGTCTCTTGTAGTTTCTTGTTAAAACTGCTGAGAGCATTAATTTCACTTGGTATTGCAAAGGTAGAACTAGTTAAAAGAATAGGGCAGAATTTGCAGGAGGCTTCTGTAAATGATCTTTTGATTCGAGCCTCAAATGGGGAAGGAACCATGTATGATGTCCATGTCGTCCATAAATTACTAGAAGTTTTTATGATGCGAGATAAGGATTCTGAACCTCAGCTAGAAGATGGAGATGAAATTCAGAAGATGCGAAATCCAGGGATTTTATCAGAAGCTTCAAAATTGATGGTGGCAAAGCTAGTAGATGGATGCCTTACCAAAAATTGCGAAAGATCCTAATCTCCCTTTGTCAGCATTTGTTGGTCTAGCAGAGATGGTATCTGATTTTCCTCGACCCGGTCATGATGGTATCTATCGCGCAATTGATATACCTTAAGGAGCAACCTGGAATCAGCAATAGTGAGAGGAAGAGAATTTGTAAGCTGATGGACTGTAAGAAGCTCTCGGTGGATGCTTGTATGCATGCTGTGCAAAACAAGAGGCTTCCCCTTCGTGCTCTTTTTCGAGCCAGTCAGGGCTAATGCCTTGTGTGGGAGCAGTACTCCGGATCTGTCGAAAGCTATTAGGGACCTTAACAGTGCTTTATATGGAAGTTCAAGCTCTGCAACAGCAAATATAGAAGAAGATTGGGATGTTGCAGCCTCTGCAGAAGAACTTAGGGCCTTGAGAGGAGAGCTTGCAGCCATAAGAATGGGAAATGGAGGAACAAACGACAAAGTTAATGGCGATATCAAGACTAGAGCCATAAAGACTAGGCTGCCATGGAGTAGAATGAAATGTTTGCTCATGTCGAAGAGGATCTTCTTGAAAATATGGTCGAACAAAGGGGGACAAGGGGAGAATAGTGGATAGATTCGTCCGAGAGGATCTTGGATCTGCTAACTTGGAAGAAGCTAAGTCTACACCTTCAAGAAAAGGAAGGCATTCAGTTTCTTAGTTCTAACAGCTTAAGGAATGTACTCTTGGTGGCCTTTTTCTGATGGGGTTTTTCTTAATTGATATTAGCATGTCAAAAAGACTAGTCATCTTTCTCTGAAGTCCTCTAGAAGAAACTGAAGGATATAGTTTGACAAAAAAGTTTGGAGGAGGAAATGAAGCCTCTTATGGACCAACAAACAGAAGTTATTTGAATAGATGTTCTGTCATTTATTAGTTGTCCATGTGAAAAAAACGCTGTTCAGTTACTCTGGATCATAAGTCAATGTCAATCTTGCGGTTATCTTAACGTATATAATTAGTCTAACGATATTAGCAGTACTTGATTTCCATTGTTTGAATTTGATAAGTTTTCTCTGCTGACAGGATTTTTGGGAGTAAATAATTTTGGGCATCATCGAATTAAAAATATTTTTGGTGCAGAGATGGAGAAAATAGAGGAAGTATCAACATTTAAGAGGAAATATTCATTATTCTAAAAGAGAGAGATAAGAAGGATACTTTTCACGACATATCACTGCCACCTAACGCCAAGCAAATCCTCCACAAATAATATTAACATACTAAAGAAGAACTCGAGGACGAAAGGGCTTGGCCCGAACTGCTACTCGAAGTGTTGTGGGCACACAGGACACATACACCCAAATGCCAGCACAGGGGAAACACCGTACTCGCTGGTCTATCGAACGAACGCGGTATACCGTCGAGGTCGGCGAAGCCAAGCCTAAGATATTCACACATCAGTGGAATAGAAAATGACACACAACAGGCTCCAAGACGCTTCGGACGAAGCTGAGGAAAGAGAGAAATGAGGCCATATCAGAATGGTGGCCCAAAAGCAACAAGGTCGAGAGATACTACAGACAAGAGAGCCAAAATATGGACCTCAAGGTGGGAGATTAATGTCCTTAAAGCCAAGACATTGGCATCCAAAGACCAAGTGAAGGGAAACTGGGCACTCACTGGGAAGGACCCTACAAAAATCACAAGCAAGTAAGCAGCAAAGGCGCATTCCAGTTGGAAACAATGGAAGGGAAAACGCTCCAAAACTGGAAGCGTTACTCACCTCAAGTATTTCCACTTCTGAAAGGCGTCCCCCGAGTCGTACTCTTTTCCCTTACCCGAGTTTGTCCAATTGGGTTTTCTCGGGAGGTTTTTAACGAGGCCGGCAGAGGGACACTTGGAGATATTTTGCGAAACAAGTTTATCATATCAACCTCTCCTTACGGCTCCAGGCCGAAGCATGATAAGGGACTGGACTAAGCTTGATCTCCAATGTAATGAAAGGCTACGGGCCATCTCCGATGGTATGAAAGGCTAACGACCATCTCCAATGTATGAAAGGCTACGGCCATCTCTCAAATGTATGAAAGGCTACGGCATCTTCAATGTATGAAAGTGCTACGGCTTCTCAATGTATGAAAGGCACGGCCATCTCCATGTATGAACGGCTACGGCCAAATCTCACGCGTAAAAGGCCACGGCCATCTCCAACGACGTTATGGCTAAGGCCATCAACGATATACATGGCTAGGCCATCGACGACCGATAAAGTCGACCCAAGTCGACTGTACGCAATAACTCGACGAACAGTCGAAGTTCACGTACATTGGTTTAAGGCCATAGACGAATATAATGGCTTAGTGCCAATCGTACAGCCGATAAGGTCAACCTAGCTCGACTATGACGGCAGGGAGTAACTCGACGACAGTCGAAGTAACGTAACATCTGGCTAAGGCCATAAGAGGAATATAATACTAAGGCCATAAATGAATATTATTGGCAAAGCATCAACACTATAAGTCGACCCAGCTCGACGACGACAGGCAAATAACCTCTGACGACAGTCGCAAGTCGCCTACATGGCTAATGGCCACCATCATTATTAATTATGGCTAAAGCCATCGCCGCCAACGTCGACCTAGATTCGACACGGTGAGTAACAAGACTCGACGACAGTCGAAGTCGCCTACAATGGCCTAAGGCCATCAACTATAGTTATGGCTAAGGGACATCGCGCCAACGGGTCACCTAGATTTGACTACGGTGAGTAAAACGACGCCGACGACAAGTCGAAGTCGCCTACATGGCTAAGGCCATAAACTATATTATGGGCTAAGGACATCGCCGCCAACGGTCCGACTAGATTCGACAATGGTGAGTAAAATTTGACTTGACGACAGTCCGAAGTCGCCTACATTGTGCTAAGGCCATCATTATATTATGGCTAAGGCCAATCGCCCCAACGGTCGACCTAAATTCGACTAACGGTGAGTAAACGACTTGACGACAGCCGTAAGTTTGCGCACACGCTAAGAACCATCAACAATATTAAGGCCGAAACATAAGGTACCAAAAAGAAAAGAATAACAGCAAAGTATTCAACTTCCTTTATCATCCAAAATACAATGTACAAAAGGACCATTTACATCTCAAATACAGCAAAACAAAAATGAATACAAGCTAAGGGGCTTTCGCCATTCTGTTCACCGCCTCCCGTTCGGAACCGCCCATCTCGTCCAGCCGCGTCCTCAGGCTGATAGGCCGCAGAGATCCCAAGAGCCGGATTCTAGACGTTAATACGTCTTCGGAGTTATAGCCCGCTCCGGTCTGGGGAATCAGAACTATAGCCCACAAATTTCACGGGCGACAATGGGCTATGCGCCGTGCTCCTGAACCTCCGCCTCAAGTAGCTCGACCACAGGCTAAGAACTCCTCGAATACGACCCTCTGGCCTCGTCATATGCCCACATGTCATGCGCCTCACGATGCGCATCTCTCATCAGCGCCTTGGTGCAGCAGTCCGCTTGAGGACTTCAATCTTCAGCCGCCTTGGCGTCGAGTTCGGTGGTTCAAAGCGGCAAACCTTGATCGCAAATCAGCAGCCTTCCGCCGCTACTGCCCACCGGAACCAACCTCCAAACTCTTCTTCCTTAGACTAGAGAAGAGTCTCCAGCTCAATTTCCGCGCCAGGCGTTTCATCAGCTGCTCGTCGATTTGCTCCCAACTCGGCCACCCTCCGTTTTAGCTGGGCCTCCACACTGCTCCACAACCCTCAACGGAAAACCCAAAATTCGCGGGTTCCTGCTTGAGTAGCGTCCGCCAGCTCCCTGATGCTTGACCGGACACCCGGTCGATATTTCTTTACCACCTGTTCAAGTGGCTGCCTTCCTTTGCGCTCGCCCCTCTTCTATCTCCAATATGAGAGTCTAAAAAAAAGGAAAAGGAGAAAGGCAAGTCAGTATGCATCAAAATTTACTTTAACGGTACATAAAGAAAATGAAAATACCTGAAGGCCGCGCCGGCAACCCTCAGGGATAGTTCCCGTCGCTAACCCTTGTAACGTTCACGCTCATCGGCCGCACATAGCAGGGTCATATTCCGTTGCGGCCTGCTCGCTGTGTTGCAACAGGTTATACCCTCCTGGGATCAGAATTAGGCGGTTGGATCTACCTGCCGTCATCCCCACACGGGGCGGACCCCGCGTTAATGCATCTGCATCCGCCTTGGGCGGCTTAGGGCCCCACCCTCTCGGTATCAATCACACTTCTCCAACGGCAGCCGACGAGCCGCTCTCCAAATGTGTGTTGGGGCTGGCGTCGAGAACCGCCCCCCTTGGGGAGCCGACCTCCGACGAACGGATGGCATCTGCCATAAAAATGGCCTTGACTCTCGATGGGGCTCGCTCGCCCCCTCATCCTCTGTGGCTATCCCCTTGCCGGTTATCAACCGACGTCTTTTCCTTTCCGGCGGCTCCTCGCTCTTAGAAGTCTCTCCTCCACAGCCCGTGGGGATGGCGTTGAAGGAGTCGCTCCCCTCGTGGACGCGCCACGGGCAGCGGTTGAGGAACCTCCGCAGCGCCATCACTGGGGGAACCACAGGGTATGTATCCGTCTTCAGAATCAGTCCCGCCCCAAGGTGAGGTGACGACGTTCTTTTTCTTCTTCTTAGGGGCGTCCGACCTGCCAACGCAAATAAGTCAGGAAATAAGAACGTAGGAATTCCCAAATCGTAGCCAAAGAATTACCTGACGGGCCGTACTGTTGAAGAAATCAGCCCAGGTACGGCATTCCTCCGCATAAGGTATTATTCTTTCCACCCATGATTTAATGTCATCAATGAACTGGGTGGAGAAGCCCTCGCTGCGAATAAAAAAAGGAGAAAAGCAAAGAAAATCAAAAGGCGTATGGTCAAAAAGCGCAAGCAGTCCTAGATTCTATGAGTAGAAATACTTACGTTCTGGATTCCATATTTCGGGAACCTTCGGGATTCGACACCGAGGTGCTCGTCCTGATGTAGAAATATTTACGCCAAAAGCGGCGGTTGGGCTTGTTATCCGGCTTTTAACTCAACCAAGCCCCTTGTGCCACGACCTTTTAAACT